TTCTTATCCTGGGGAGGCCCAGGCCCAGCCGGGCTCCTGTAACACCTGGCCTGATAGGTCCTCTCCTTTGAATTACTACTCCCTGTGGTTCTAGCTCTTTCCCTGTAGAATTACCCCTTCTGTCCCCTCTGCCGCGCATGCTCAACCCTGTCTTGCATTTTCCATTTCCAGGCAGATTATAAATATTTACTGTTTCCTTCCCTGTTCTGCCCTCATCCTGTGGATGTAGCTGAGCCAGCCTGGTGGAGCTTCCAGAGTTCATCTCATCCATCCTCTGGGTCTAAGCTGGCATGTGCCAAAGCCACCCTAGCACATGAGAGACTGTCCTACACCAGGGCTTAGCACATGTGCCTGGTGTTCAGTCAATGCTGGATGATGGGAGGGAGCAGGGAAGGAAATGATTCCACACGTTTCCTGCAGATCCCACCTGCCTCTCCCCATGGCAATTCTTCTCATCCTCTGTTCTCTTACCCACAGTGGGCTGTAGGTAAGGCCACTTTCTCTTGGAGAGACTTCAATAGAGCTAAGTCACTCTCCTCACTCAAGATTTTGGACAAACTTGTTCTACCTGGGTCAGTCCCTGCCCTGAGTCTTCGTACCAGATACTGCCAGACAGACCCTGGTTTCTAATTATCTTAGAAACGTATCCTTCCTTTTGGAACCTCTCTCTATCCCCTGAGACTTTCATGTATACTGTAAAACCTTGTGGATGGAAAGGGACTATGTAATTCAATGGCTTAGTTATTTATTTCTGCTGGGTAGCAACCATTCCAAAACTTAGTAGCATTAAACAGCAACCCACACACTCGCTCACCACTCTGCAAATTCAGGCAAAGGATGGCTTTTCCCTAGTTTACATACTGTTGGCAAGAGTTACTGACCAGGGACGGGAGAATCCCAGTTCCCAAAGACTTCACTCGCATGTGTGAAGCCTCAGCTTGGGGTGGTTAAAACAGCTGGAAGCTGCCTGAGACTTTCTCCCTGACCTCCTATCCTACCCTACAGCAAGTTGAACTTCCTGATAGTATGGCAGCTGCCTTCAGAGAGGGCAAAAAATACAAGCTACAACGCCCCCTATGGCCTAGGCTTGAAAGTCCCAGAACCTCTCTTCTGCCACATTCTTCATCAAAGCAAGTCACAGGCCAGCTCAAATTCAAAAAGGAGGAATAATAGAACTTATCTTCTGTGGGGAGGAGCAGCACTTGGGCCCAGCGATGGGAAGAACTGTTGGCAGCCATATTTGCACATGAGCCGCCTCAATGGTCCTAACACAGGAAACAGACCCAGAACCACCAAGTTCCACAGAGATCCATCCCCTCTTGCAGGAGGAGCTGTGGGAGGGAGGCAAGTGGGCAGGCAGATTCCCTGGAGAAGTAGCAACTTTAAGGACCTTTGAGGGCCGTGAGCAGGATGGCAAAGAGAAAGGGTCCCAGGCTGAGCAGAGCAGAGTTGAAGGCGGAGGAGGACTTGGATCTCAGTTAGGTCTTCTCTAGGCGTTGAGTGATCCTTGGGAAGGTTCCAGGGGGCGTCTGCCCAGGTCTTCCATAATTGGGGGAGGTAGCATTTTCCTTTTCTCCTCCTTTTCTCCCTGGTCTATTTCAAGACTGTGTCTCTCATCCAAGCCTGCATGTTGCAATCTCTGGTGTGCTTAGGTTTCCGATCTTCCACTGACAAGCCCCAGCCCCTGGAGACATCTTTAGCCTTGCCTTACTTTACCATGCATGGGGAAGTTGGATTTCAGCTCTAGGTTTGGCCACCACTAAATCCTCCCCCTGTCCCACTTTTCTCCTGCCTGTTTGTATTCGGTCTAGACAATTCATTTTTATTTGTTGATTGTCCTGCCCTAGCCTGGGGCAGCTGTGGCGTCGGTGGAAAGAGAGCACTAGAATCGGAGTCAGGAAAGCTGGTTTAAATTCTGGCTGGACCGTTTACTGGTTATGCGTTATTCATCCTCTCTGGGCCTCCTGCTTCCCGTCTGCCCAGCAATTATAATGAGCCCCCATCTCCAAGGTGGCTAAAATGAGACAGTACCTAGTACTGACAAACCGTCCCCTGCTCCCAACCCAACCAGCTGGCTCTATGCACTTCTGGCCATCAGGACTCTTCTTGACCCACAAGCCCACTACTGATCGCTCCTGGTAGCTGCAGAAATCCTGTGCCATCTCCATAGTCTTGGGATGGAACCCTCAGTCTCTAGGCCTCAGTTTCAACAATGTCATGCATTTAACAAATGTTTGTGAAGCGTACACTATTCCAGGCATTGTTCTAGAAGTTGGAGAAACAGTGAATAAGGTCAACAAAACTTCTTGCCTCACAGAACTTGCTTTCTAGTGGAGACAGAAGAGACAGAAATTTTATTTATTTATTTTTTTAATAAGACAGTGTGGATTTTTTTAACTTTTATTTTATTTATTTATATGCAGTGCTGAGAAGCGAACCCAGTGCCTCACACATGCTAGGCAAGCGCTCTGTGACTGAGCCACTACCCCAGCACCCCCCCAGAGAAAATTTTAAAGCTATGCTGTTCAGAATGGTAGCTGCTAGCCATGCATGTATAGCAAATTCTTGACACCTACCCACAGCCAACTATAATATATGATAGGTGCAAAATACATACAGATTCAAAAATTAGCGAAGAAAATTAAAATCTCTCATTAATAATTTTCATATAGATTAAACGTTGAAGTGATATCTTAGATAGGTTTGGGTTTTAAAAAACCCCATTACTTTACCTGTTTCATTTTCCCTTTAAAAATCTGACCCTTTAGAAAAATCTAAATTACATATGTATGGACTAAGGATAAGACTCAGTGATAGAACTCGTATTTAGCACGTGCAAAGCCCCAGGTTTAATGCTCAGCACTGTGAAAAAAACAAATAAAATACATGTGTAGCCTACATTCTACTGCTATTGGCCGGCACTGTCCTAGAGTAGGCTAGAAGGTGGCATTGCTATGGGGAAAATGAAGGGGTTGTAAAAAAGAGGGGCCCGCATGCAGAACTAGAAGGGGTGAACTGTAAATGCAGTGTTCAAGGTGAGCCAGACTGCGGTCAAGGTGAGCCAGACTGAGAAGCTAAGGAGACTTGAAGGCCAGGAAGCCACACACACACGTGCCATGAGTAGGAAGGGTTGGGCCAGGAAAGGGAAGCTGTTATAAAGACAGAGGAGGGAGCATGCCCACTGTGTCTGAGGACACAGAAGCCCATGTGGCAGGACCGAAATGACCAAGGTAGGTCTGAAGTCACTGAGTAGGCGGGAGGTAGTGGCCGTAGGACAGTGCAGGGTCTTTTGAGGGCATTTGATTTTTTCTCTTGAGTAAAACAGAATCTCCAGAGGGTTTTGGAGCCCAAAAGTGACATGACTTAGCTCCTACTTGAACAAGCTCACTCTGACTGCTGTGTGAGAATTAATCAAAGGCAGGCCAGAGGAGAACCCGAGAGCCAGTTTTAAGGTTCCAGCAAAAGTCCCAATGGGATGACAAGGGCATGTGGCTCACGGGACCTCGTGCAGATTTAGCATCAACTCAGTGGTACAGGACCAGGAAAGGCGGCTTCCTGGAGCAGGGCCATCAGTGGAGGAGTGAGACCTCACCTCCCGCCATCTTCCCATGTGGACCCAACTCTGAGCTCACTGCCAGTCACCTACACACCTCACAACAGGGGATCTCCCAAGAGGACAGCAACAACCTCCCCCTGGCCTCTCTGCCTTCCAAGCTGTTGCCAGGCACCACCAGAAAGCATCTCTAGCCAGGCACGTGGTGGTGCATGCCCGCAATCTCAGCAGCTCAGGACGCTGAGGCAAGAGGATTGTGAGTTCAAGGCCAGCCTCAGCCAAAGCGAGGCACTAAGCAACTCAGTGAGACCCTGACTCTAAATAAAATACAAAATAGGGCTGGGGATGTGGCTCAGTGGTCAAATGTCCCTGAGTTCAATCCCTAGTACCCATCCCTACTCCCCCTAAAAAAGCATCTCCAGCTGTGATACTCCATTTAAAACCCTTTAAACGCTGTTCCTCCCTGACAGTCCTCTTGGCAGGGTGCTACAGGCTAAGCTAGCCCCTGCCCATCTCTCCAGCCTCCACCCCACAGCCACTCCCAGCCTGAGTCCCACCTCCAGGCCTTTGCTCCTGGGATGCCCTCCACCTGCTCCTCCCTGTTCTCTGGCTTCTAACGGTCCTTTAAGGGGTAGTCTAGGTCATGCCATGGGAAGACACCCCTTATCCCAATCCACCACCCATAAGCTAGATGAGGTGCCCCATCACATTCGATGCATCGTCCACGGCTTTATAGCTATCTCCCCACACACCAACCCTTGCTAGATCTTGGAGTATAAATGTCTGATGCACACAGCATCAAATTGGCCCAATATTTATCCAAACCGTTGTGGTTTCAAAGAATAAATGAGAGGTTCAGGAAGTGGATCTGGAAGCACTTGTTCAGCAATGCCAAAGACCCAGGCAGGTATCCCCTTCCCCAGGACCAGGACACGAGGGAAGCGCTTATGCAGCAAGGGAAGAAAAGGAGTCCCCACGGTATCAACCAGTGCTCCAGAGCTCTTTCTGAGGGTCAGAAAACTCCAAGACATGTTACGTAAAACTAAATTAAAGAAATTATACCCTTCTCGCTCCCAGCAGGCTATAGACAACAAGACCCCACAGCCAAACATGGCCCATTCCTGTCTCCAGTGCAGCCGGGGTGGAGACAACCAGTTCCTTTCTTGACCGGGGCCAGGTGTCTGAGGAGCTCTTTTCATTGCAAGGGAGTTGAGCCCCCTCCACCCATTCCCAGAGCTCCCCACAAGACAGCAGGTGGACAGGGACCTCCAGGGCCAGCCCAGCCAGAAAGCAAGACTCTGGCCCCCAGCACAGGACATGGGTTTCCCCATATCGTACATCCCAGTGACCCCTTTCCTTAAGACAGACGCCGCTGTGTTCCCCAAGGGAGGAGGGTGGGAGGAAGTCTGAACAAGGATTCAATGGAGAAGGAGAGACCAAGAGGAGCTTTGAGATCAGAATTAAATTCTTTAATACAAAATGCTTTTTTTTTTTTAAGATATATCTGTATTTCTTTGTTGTTGTTTAAAAATAAATATGTACTACGGAATATCTCGAAAAACTGCACTAGAGACAAAGACGTGATGTTAATATCTTTTTCCCCCACAATTATTACGGATAAACAGTAGCACCAATAAATAAATGATAACAAATATTAAAATTAAAAAAGGAGAGAGATTTAGTATGTAGAATTCTCTATTTTTTCTTGTTTTGTTTTTACATATAAAAAACAGAATAGCAATGTCTATTTTATCAGAATCACATATATACATAAACATATATATATATATATATATATATATATATACACACACACAAACACAAGTTGCCACATATATATATAGTATGTAAATGTATATTGAAACCTTATTTCAAAGGAATGTGTGGTAGGGAACTAGGGCACAGGGGAGGGCAGGACTGTGTTAGCAAAATTAAATATCTGTTCAGGACAAGCTAGTGACTGTCACCGATCAGGGAGAGAGATTGGAAACATGGATTTTACACACAAAAACCAATACAAAAAGAGCGAGAGAAAGAGCAAGAGATACATCTCATAAATAGTTGAAATTAAATATTATCCAAGAATACTGAAAAAAAACCCTACTCTTTTAATTAAATTAACTGTTTTAATTTCTAATTAAAAAGGGATATTAAATAAGTACCGTATATAAAAGACTTTCTCTTTCTCTGCCTCAGTGGTGGGCATGTGGATCCTGCCTGGTCTCTCTTAGCCTCAGGAAGTGACAGGTCAGGGGACAGGGGAAAGATTAACCACACACACACACACACACACACACACACACACACAGCCAGGTCTCCTGGGGACAGAACTAGTGGTTTCAATGGTCTGAGGACCTGAGGTCCTCGGCTGCACCCCGGAATGTGGGGTGAGGAGAGGATAAGGGGAATCCCAGGAGGAGGAGCGATCACCGGCTGCTTCTTCCACCAATGTCTCTTCTCTTCTTGAGGACACCTCTCGCTTGAGGACACCTCTTGGTGGCCTCCTGGGTGACTCAGAAGCAGGTGAGAGTAGGTGAAGACTGCCCGGGCTCCTGCATCTTCAGGCAGTGCCCCCGGGGGACAGAATGCCCTTGCAGCATTGATGGGGAGCCACAAAGCACACCCAGTCCTGAGGCTCCCCAAACTCCTGGTCAGAACCAGTGTCCTTGTCCCTGTACCTGTCTTTAGGTTTTCTGTTGGTTTGACTCAAGGTAGAGGCTTGGGGCCAGGGCTGGGTTTGTCGGTGTCCCCAGAAATGAGCCAAATTTGCCCCCACACCCTGGCCTTGCAAGATCCTGGGCAAAGGAGAGGACCCTGGCTTCCCTAAGAGGGACCCCCAAAAAAAAAAAAAAAAAAAAAAAACATGCCAGAGTCTCTTGTCCCTTCCTCTTCCCTGTCGGCATCTGGGTAGGGACATTCTCCTCCCAACTGAAGTCCACAGCAGTCAAATACATCCAGTGAAGACACCAATAACATTAGCAAAGTTAATTTAAAAACAGAATATATATATTTTATATATATAAAATATATATATTTACTTTCATATATATATAATATATATATATATATATATATATATAAATGTATGTATGTGGGTGGGTGTGTCTACAGGAATCCCAGAAATAAAACTCTCTAATCTTCCGGGCTCGGTGATTTAGCAGCAAGAAAAATAAAATGACAAATCCAATTCCAAGTGGGACCGTGCTTGGTCACCCGCCCGGGAATGCTTCTGCCGGAGTCTCACCCTCCGGACCCAAAGTGCTCTGCGCAGAGTCCCCTCTTCCTTCATTTCAGGTTTCTGGATTAAGGACTTCTGTTGATGGCGACGGTGTGGTGGCGGCGTGGTTAGTCTCAGTCATTCTGTATCAGTCTTTGTTGGTGAGAGGTCTGGTTCCCGAAACTCTGAGGCAGGTTCCTTCCTCCAGCCTGGCTCACCGCCTTGGCTTGTCACATCTACGGGACATCGCAAGACAAAGACTAGGTTAGGGCCAGGAGGGGTGGCCTGGGATGAGGCAAGCAGCTTCCCCGTTCCTGGGAGCCCTTGGGTCCCTGCGTTGTCGTAGGAGCTGATGACAGGGAACCTGCAGTCCTGGGACAGGAAGCCTCCTTGGGAGGGAGACACCCAGCCCCACCCTCGAGAAGCCCTAGTCCCAGCAGCAGCCATGCTCAAGACAAAGACATGGAAACACCGCACAAAACAACAAATGAGCAAGTACCAACAGACAGCCCCGCGTGACATTTCTTTCCTTTTTTTTTTTTTTTGGCACTGGGGATTGAACCCAGGGCACTTTACCACTAAACTACATCCCCATTCCTCTTAAATCTTTTATTTTGAGACAGGGTCTTCCTAAATTGCTGAGGCTGGCCTCAAACTTGTAGTCCTCCTCCTGCCTCAGCCTCCCATGTCACTGGGATTACAGGTGAACACCAGGCTCTACTTGGCACTTCTATAGCCGATGGGTGACCAAGTTGGGCAAAGTTAGCCAGGAGGAGGTTTGTGCAGGAGATTTTTCAGTTCAGTCTCTTAGGGCTAGTTTGGGGCACAAGAATACCTTGAGCCAGGGAACCAAAGTGGCCAGAGAAAGGGAGCCTGCTCTGGGGACAGGAAGTCCCCAAGGGAGGGGAGTGGAAGGGCACGGGGCCCCAGGAAGCCAGGGAAACCCCTCCGACCCCATGCCCTGTCCCGGCCTTGGCTGCAGGCCTCTTCTCTCTGGAGCTGCAGGCCTAGGTGCAGGCTGCTTGTCCTTTCCAACAGGCTGGACAGAGACAGCTCAGTGGCTTTGCTTTTCTCACTGAAGCAGAGGGGACCACCAAGAACTTTCTCGTCGTGTCCCTGCCCTGCCTTGTCTTTTACTCTCCTCCCTGGGTGAAGAAGACAGAACACACGCTGCCTTAGGTCAAGTCCTAAGCCTCCAACCTTGGGAACCAAACTTCCCAGACACAGCCAGCTTGGGCATGGGGTAAGGTCACCTCACATATCTCCCTCCCAGACAGTTCCTCTGCAGAGGAATCACCAGAAAAACCCCCAAATGCCAAGTTCCTTAACTTCCTCAAGGCCTCCTGAAGAACTGAACCCCCTCATCCAGAGCCCCCATCCAGCACTAATATACTCTTCCTGCTTTCACACAGCACCAAGACACATGGAACTCCAGCCACGAAGGCCTGGTCCCCAGCACTGCCTGAGTACCCACCAGTCACAGAAGCAGACTGGAGAAGGAGCAGCGTACACTCCAAGGAGCCTCTGGACCAGCTGGGGAGTCTGGCCCCACCTAAGTCACCCCCCCAAAAAGCCCCCTAATCCCAGACCACTTGGGCATAAAGAACTCCAGCCCAGACATCAGACTGCCAGCCGTCCATCACAGCCCTGTGCTCCTGACTTCGCCACTGCTGAACTTGGCCAGGTCGCGTTCACTCATGCACTTGATGCTTCCTTAGTCCCCACCATGGACTTAATCCCCACATGTGTCCCAGGAAGATGTGGACACATATTGGGCCACAGGGCCCCAGACACCTGGGGATACCCCATGCTTCAGGAGGTCAGACTCATGTGAGGAGAGTGAGCACGGCCCCTCCCTCCACCCTTCCCAGGAGCATTTAGAAATGTGTAGGCTGTTTAGGGTCCTCGTGAATGGTGCAGGATTAAGGCATCCTTGGATCCTAAATCTCCTGCACTGTGTAAGAACTGCCCCATCCTAAACCACAACAGATCCCTCCAGGGGCCCCAGACTGAGCGGGAGAATCAATCCTGGCCCCATGGAGACACACTGGAGGAGAGGAGTTAGCCATGATGACTGGACCGGCAAGGCCTCACAACAATGCCTACACTTGGTTGCCATCGTTCCACACTGGAAGGGCTCTCCGTGTCTCGGCATTAGCACAACCTCAGCACTGATGGCCACCACAAGCAGCAGGACCACAGGACACAACACACAGCTTGCGTCCACACCACCACGTCAAGCCACACCAGCCTACCCGTTCAGGTAGCCAGGGCAACCTCCAAGCAGGCCCCGCCAGGCAGGCCCCGCGTCCTTGGCCCCACGGGTCCTTGACAGCAGAGGAGGCAGCAGTCGCCAGGCAGGCAGCTAGAAGCCCAGCCAGCATCTGGCCCCTCTCAAGCTCACACGCTCGCTCTGTCTCTCTCTCTCTCCCCATGTCTGCGATGTGATGTCCCTCTCTGACTCGCTCGCTCACCCTCTGGGAACCAACCTGCAAGTACGTTCGTTTAACTCAAGCTGCCTCGCCTTGCAACGCGAGTCTGTGTTTTTGCAGGAACATTTACACGTCTGCGGATCTTGTACAAACAAATGTTTTCTCCTCTCTGAGCAAGGCCCACAGGGACTGCAAAAAGGCAAAAGGAAAGACATCTAAGCTAGAGCATCAGCAGAGAGAGAGAAAAAAACCCATGCAACACCCCCTTGTCACGTCCGCAGCAGCACCCCTCCCGGCTCGCCGGCCCCGCGTCCTTCCACGTCCTGGAAGGATCTGAGCACTGCAGCAAAGACAGAGAGAGCGGCGGAAAGAGGCAGCACTGGCTAGGACGCCCGCCTGCAGGAAGAGGAGGGCACAGGCCGGCAGAAAGTGCAGGGAGAGGGCTGCCATATGGGGCGGGGCTGTGTCCCTGGAAGATGTGGACACGTATTGGGCCACAGGGCCCCAGTTGCAGCTGCCCCCCACAAAACACACCTTGACCCTTCACCTGCTGAAGACAGTGGGCAAGGGCTCAGACCCAGGCCCTTCCAAAGGTGGCTTGAATATAGGGCATGACGGGAAGTCAAGTTCAGAGGCACTGTCCAGGGGCTAGGCCACCATCAGCTACAGGGCCCACCACAGCCTCCAACCCAGAGGAAGTGGCCCTACAGGGAGACTTCCACATGTGGGTACCATGGGTTGGGCTAGAATTGAGGCCCCAAGTCCCTGAGAAGCCAAGGTACTTCTCCCAGACCAGAAAGGGCCACCATATGGTGCCTGATCCTCCCGAGCTCCTCCTTCAGCCCCCAACAAGCCACTTTCTGCCATCGCACCCCCTCCTCGCATCGTCTCTGCCCTCCCCACCACCCTCAGCTTGCAGACATGTTCAGAAGCCTAGAGCAGTGGAAACCAGTTGGGTGAGCAGGCCCCAGTGCCCAGCCCCTGTGCCAACATGGGTCCACCACCAGTGCCCCGTGGGTGAGAGAAAGTCGGTGCCCAGCCAAGCCAGAGGCCCCTCCGTGAATCCTCCAGGCCCACTTGGCCAACCCCCCACCCCATCCCTGGACCAGCAACACCACCACAAAGTCTACCCGTTGGTGCCAATTAGTGGAATGAGAGTGAGAGAGAGACACTGGGTCTGGGAGGGAGGGGCAAGAGCCAGGGAGGGGCCAAGGGACGAAAGCAGGGTTAGGGGTTACTGCAGGCAGGGGTTTGATTGGGGGCCAGGGGACTCCAGGGAGTTAGCAGCGGGCACCAACGTACACGCTCCAGGGCTTATACCGGGATTTCTTGCGCTTTCGTTTTTGCCCCTTTCCCTTTCCTGGAACTGATTTTCTGGAAAATAAAAAAACAGAGACAGACCAGAGAAAGAGCGAGGGGGGAGGGGAGAGCAAAGGAAGGAGCGAGGGGATCACGGGTGGGAAGGAGTGAGACAAAGCCAAACAGGCCCGCTCTCGGGAGCAGGCGCCGAGGAGGCATGCGACCTCAGGAAGGTGTGTAAGTGGCACTCCTATTTAGGGCCGCTTCCCCCATGGCTCCTCCTCCTCACTCTGCCCACCCTGGGGTGGCAATCTCAGCCCCTGGCAAGGCATGGGGTAGGGAGCAGAGACTGGAGGGCACAGGATCCAAACATCTATAGGATCATAGGGCTCCTGGTCTCAGGCAGGGCATCTGGCCCTGAGGGCAGGTTCTCAGCTGCCCTGTACAAGTCTGATCCTGAAGGTCAGGCAGGGTATAAGAGCCAGGCCAGAGTTTGAGAGAAGGTCAGATTCCTGACCTGATGCAGAGTGAGGGGAAGGCCGTGTCCAGCACCGCCTGCCTTCCTCCCCAAATGCAATAGCAAGGGGGTCTCTCCAGGTGCTGTGCTTCTGGGAATCCTAGCAGGTGGCGGGCGGGGACATTACCTTAGGAGCTGGCACAAAATTCAGAGCAGCTCATGAAAGGCAATAGCCTGCTCAGTACCTGGGCTGGGAATGGGGCTGGGTGTCTAAAGAGGGGGCAGGAGGTGGCAGGGTCAGCGGGCAGGGAAGGGAGGCTGGGGGAGGGGCCTAGCAGTGCTTGGCAGGGAGTTCTCTCCCCAGCTGCACCATCTCGCCAGACTCTTCCGAGCCCAGGCGAGCCCCGGCTCTCCCTGTGGGCAAAGCAGGCGTTTGGGGAACGGGCAACGGGGACAGGCTACAGCTTGCCCCCCTCAAGGGAGCCAGCACTCTCCACTCCTGCTAACCCCAGAGAAAACACTCAGCATGTCTATCACAGGGGGAGAAGGGAGGGGCAGAAGGGATGGAGGAGAGGGCGAGTCTGTTCCCCTTGGGAGAAAGCACTAGAAGGATGGAAGAACAGTCTGCACGCTCGCTCCATGCTCTCACTCCCTCTCCCTGAGCCTATTCTCCCAAATCATTCTAGTGCAGCTGGGGACTTAGGGAAGAGGCAAGGGGTCAAGGCTTAGGAGAATTCCTGTCTGTCCCAGAGTGGCAGGGCAGACAGGAAGGTGGGGGGACAGGGCATGGGTGCTCTCTCTCAGTCTCTCCTCCCTGCATGCTCATTCTAATCAATGCCCACTGCCCTCCTCCAAAAGCTCACTGCTCCCAGACTTTGCCCCCAACCCCATCCTAACCCAACCCTCCATACTGGGCACCCGGAAGCCTCAGGAAATGGCTAACATGGCACTTTTCCTGCCCAGCCAAGAGGGCTTGTGTCTGCTGCCAGCCCCACTCCTGCAGGAAGGCATGTACTATGAAACCCCCCAGTGGCCCCAAATCCAACTGCACTGCCACAATAGCCACCAAAAGAAACTGCTGCCTCTGACACACAAAAGCTGGCGTGTCACCCACTCTCTCCCCTACTATGGATCCCAGGCAAGCCAGGAAGCCAGCATCCACACTGGCCTGAGACACCGAATCAGCAAGGACTACCCAGGAGAGACCTGGACACCTGACAGCACTGGTTTTGTTTTTTGTTTGTTTGTTTGTTTGTTTGTTTGTTTGTTTTTCAAGAGAAACATCAAGTTCCAGGCTGGGTTTTCTCACTAACCCTGGAGCCACAAGCCTGGAACTGGCTCCATGTCCCTGCTTCCACCACAAGACCCCCAAGAAACCAACTCCCTGACCAGGGGAGGCCATCAGAGCCCCCAACTGAGGAAGCCAGAAGCCCCAAACCAAGACAACCGGCCAAAGAGCGGGAGAAGTGCTAAAGTCAAAACCACTTACTTTTCTTGCCTTGCTTTATCTTTCTTTGGTCTGCAATGGGAAGAGAAAGAGAAAAAGAAAAAACAAAAACAGAAGAGTTACAATGGTGCAGATAACAGTAGAGATTATAGTAGTAAAAACTTAACATTTATGATACAGCAACTGTGTTTTAATCCCTTCACATGTAATAACTCCTTTAATCCTTGCAACAACCCTAGGAGGTACGTTCAATTATGGTGCTCATTTTACAGATGTGGAAACTGAGGCACGCTGACGTGAAATACCCAAGGCCACACAGCTGGAAGGTGGACATGGGTTAACAAGTACAATGTGCTTCACTCCGGTGGGGACCATGGCTGTTTGCTGGATAAATTAATGAATGAATGGGCACCTTGGTCCTCACCTGCATTCACACTTGCTGTGCTGTAGGAAGCTCATCTCTCCTATGTGTTGGCCTTGGTGAGGTTTGATCCGCATGATCTAGAGGGGAAGGAAGCAGATCATAGAGGTTAGTGACCCAGCCAGCCATACCCAGAGGGGCACCCCAGGGCTCCTGCCACTCAGCACCCAGGGGCTCTACAGAGCAGGGATGGGTGGTAGAGGCAGGGGGACCAAAGGCTCTAGTAGAAAAGAGCCTCCGGCCACCCCAACTCTCCCAACCCTGCTGGCCTCAAGGAGCCTCTCTTCCTCTTGAGGGCAGACGTGGCTGCAAGGGTTGGCTAGGCTGGGAATCCGGGTCCTGGGTTCTTATAGGTTCCCATCCCCTCTCCTGCTTTCATCCCTTCTAGGCCCCACCCTGATGCACCCCTAGAAGCTCCCTGAGAGCCACCTACCCCCAGTGTCTGAGTTCCCTCCCACTCGCAACCCAAAGGTACCAAGAGGTACACAAAGACCAGCTTTTAACTCTTCACAGACCAGGTTCACCCAGCTCCCCAACAAGGCCCCCAAGGAAGGAGGGCCCCCAGGCTCTCTCCAAGGGATAAAGAGAAGGGCTCTTATCAAAGGCAGCAGCCCCCTCCTGAGCCTCGGGAGCAAAGGCAGAGGAGGTGGTGGGAGTTTGGGGATTTGGGCTGGGAACCGAGGTAGATAAGACCCCACCACACCACACCTCCCCACCCCAACCCCAACTCAGGGGCAGGAGCCCGACAAGGCAAGTCTAGTTCCTCCTACTACAAGCTTCCAAGGAAAAGGCCCAAACCACCTGTTGCAAAAAGTAAGCCCCCCCGCCTCCTCCCCTCCCCCACCCCCACAGAGGCTCACCTGCATAGTGATGTTGAACTCCTGGGTGGGCACGCACTCTAGGCCCTCATCGTTACAGCAGCCCCCGCACCGCATCAGGGGCACACAGGATGGCTTGAAAATGAACTCGATCTCATCTGGATACTCCTGGAAGATGTCCACCAGGGTCTCTATTGGACGGCAGTAGCTGCGCTGGTAGACATCCAGGAACTTCACCACTGCATGGGATGGAGTGACACGTGAGCCCAGCAGGTGACTCACCCAGCTCTGTAAGCCTCTCCTTGGGGCTTCCATGAGAGGTATTCACTATCAGGAAAGTCCTTCCAAAATCTAACTTAGATCCCTTCTCCTGAGTTGAAGCCCTTCCCTAAGCTGCCCACCATCGCTAGTGAAGTCTGTTTTCATTGTACTGATCACACAAGCTTTCGAGTTCCAGGGCAGATGGCCTGCCACATCTAAATCCCTGTCTCACCGTGACAGCCAAGCAAATTCCTGAGCCAATGTTAATGCCAGAGGACAGTGTGAGTGTGGGTATACCTTTTGGGGGTGTGCTAAGCTTCACCTGAGAGGAAGAACAGCCGGCTTTGCCAAGCTGCTCTCCATTTTCCTATATCCTCCCAACAGATGGGGCCATAACAGACGAACCCTAACCATTTACTGACTCCTTGTCGGGCATCATTCATAGCTATCTAAACAGTGCTCCCCTGTGATATTACTACTATGGGGGCCTCATCTTACAAATGGGGAGCTGGAGGCTCAGAGAGGCTATGTAACCTGCCACAAGGCCACACCGCTAATTAACAGGACAGTTAGAATGGGCCCCAGAGCCTTCCCAAGCCTATGCCATGCAAAAGAGAAGCTTCTGAAAGCACCTAGCCAGCTGCTGGTCCCCCCAAGAAATGGACTGAGGAAGTACCAGCAGGTGGCAGTGGGCCGGCACACCGTGAGGGCCCTGCCAGCCACTACTGACCCCGCCCAAGAGGGCAAACTGCTTGCATCATGGAAAAAGCGGTGCTGCCGCAGCCAGGGAGCATTTCTAGATGCTGATCTGGAGGGAGACCAGGATAAAGACAGTTTCCCAGGCTGACCACAGAGCCTGGGGTGCACTGGAGCATGAAGGGGTAATTTTGGGCCATAGGGGCGGGGCCCTTGAGAATAAATAAATGCAGGACTCCCGGCATGACTACTTCAAACTGTGGCCCAGCCTGCCACTCCCCATCACAGTTCCACTGCCACCACATAGCAAGCCTGCCCACGAAATGAGCTCCCCTACACGGGAAGGAAGAAGTAATACCAGCCAGCAAGGAGGCTTAGGCTTTGGCCATGACTTGAGGTGACCTTGGGCCTGTCCCTCCCCTCTCTGGGCCTCCAACTCTGCTCAACTGTGTAAGTGGGTTGGCCCGATCTCTAAAGACACTGAAACAGAGGCTGAAATGTGGGGAGTTGGCTTCCCATTTCCAGCACTGAGAACAACTACTCTTTTCTCACTCTGAGTGGAAAAAAGTTTGGAACTTCACCAAGGCTTCTTAAGTGCACACCCCAATACACTACTGCCCCCCACCCAGGGACCAGAGCAGCCCCCCGCACACACACATACCTCTAAGGCTTGTTATTTTTTTTTTCCAGAAGGGTAAAGGAAAATGAGACCCAGGGATATGTACACTGTAAGTTGGTTGGGGAGAACTTGGAGTATTGAGGAGAAGGTGGGGAGAAGGCCAGGGATATCAAAAGTGAAAGAACAGTGGGGGAGGGGGACCAAGACAGCCTCCTACCTTCCCTGGGATCTCTACTCATATCCAGACAGAATTCTTCTCTGTCCCCAAAGGATTAAGGGAAAGCATGGTCAAAAGAGAGTAAATGAAACCAGGGGTCTGAAAAAGTCATTTTTTAAGCCAAGTCTATACTGAAGAAGATGACTAATCTAGAATTTGTTAACTAATCTTTCATCATGCATGGGACAGAGGTGGCCCAGGCCTGAAGCCCCACCCAGGAGGAGACAGCAGACAGGTCCGGCCTGGGCAGTGGTGCTGATAGCTAAGGTACAGACCCAGGCTGGGCATGCCTTTGAACAGCTTCTCTTTATAATCCCCAAGGCCCATGCACAGGAGGTGAGAGGGCAGCTCCAGCACCCCTGCAGCCCAGTCCCTGCTGCAAGGAAGGCTGTCCTCTTTTGTCCGGGGTGTATGCACATGCTCTCCAACACCAGTCTTTCGTGGTTTTCCTTATTTATGGCAGACAACCTTTTCTCTAACAAACAAAGACCATTTGTCTTGCCTCTCCCAGACCACAGAGACCACTGGGAAGCTAAAGGGGGTGGGTGGTGCACTGGGAGTGGGGGCCTGTCGGTGGCATAGGACAGGGAGTGGCAGAAAGCCAGTCCCTGGGCCAAAGGAAAGGGCTCCTGGGGTGGCGAAGGAGGAGGCAGAACCGGCTGGGCATCACCACCCCTGGCGGCCACTGCAGCCACACTGGATTTGAGTCACAGAAACTCGCCCAGGAAGAAGACCCCAGGGCCTTCCCTCCTCAGAGGAGGGGAGCATGGGGAGTGGCATCAGGCTGGAGCAGAGGCCACACTCAGTGGTGGGGAGAGCCAGGGCGTCCCCAGAGAAATGGGAGGCTCCCCGTACTCCAAACCACAGTGGAACAAAAGGCAGGCAGACTCAGGGTTGGGCAGGGGGGCGGGGCGCCTGGGAGTTTCAGCCAGCCCTCTGCTGGCCTGGCAGGGAAGTTCACAGCACCCATACAGACCAGCAGGGCTTTCTCCACCCCTGAAGGAATGCCAACGGCAGCAGGGTAGCAGGGTGTCTATTAGCCTGGGCCCCTGGAACCTCCAGCTCACACAGGAAGGGCCACGGCCCCCACACATGGGCCCATGGCTGGGTAGGAAGTGACATGGAACATCCATCCTCCCCAGGAAAGGGGAGCACAAGGGATACCTCCCTTGATATCAGGAATCCCCAAACGGGCACTACCTTCCTGGTCCGTGCTTACAGCTCCTTCTGCAAATAAAATTTTACTAGAAGGAGCTGAAGACAAAAGCAACAAGTCTGACTTCCAGCACAGACCTGAACAGAGAAGGGACCTTAAGAAACCGAAGGGCTAACCTCATGGTACCCACCTCTGTCTTGCTTCTCATATTCCTGCACCCCTCCCCCCGCCCCAGGTCTGAAAAGGAGGATTTGGACCTTCCCTGCCTCCCGGGGACCCCATCCAAAAGCCAGAGGGACTCACCTTCATGGGGTTTCTGCTCTCCTTCTGCCATCGGTGCAGCCTGGGACCACTGAGAACAACACAAAACAGCAAGGCATTGGCATGGGCATAGGGAGGGGCAGGGGTGCAAAGGCCCAGCCACGGGGCCCCTCCCCCTCCCTCGCTTTCCTCCCAGTCCACAGCCTCTATCTTCTCCAAAGCTTCTGGGTGGAACAGGAATAGCTGGGGTCCCCACAGATCCAAAGCATGCCCACCACCCCTGGACTGCTCCAATTCTAAATCCATGTAAGTTAAAGACTAACCAGATGTTGGGGGCTGGGAAACTCACAATGCAGGAAGAAAACACCAAAATCCTGTGCTGTTCAGGCCTCTGTCCTTTCCCCACAGGGCCCTCGCCTCACTCTAGCTGCCCCCCTGATTCCCTGGTCCAAAGCCATGGGTAAGTATTAAGGTCAAATAGGAGGACAAATTTGGACTGGGGCAGGAAGGAAGGACTGGGGGCGAGAAAAACAACATGGTGACCTTCTCCTGCTGACATGACAAATACCAGGGTGAGCTGGTGTTGGAGAGGGAGGGGGGTGCAGAGGACCGAAGGGCACCAACCACCCTCCCCCAGCCAAACTCTTCTAGTCCTCAGGAAGATTCAGCATACCCATAGGTTGCTTAGAGTAGAAGCCTGAGAGGAAGTCTTGCAGGGGAGAAAGAGACCCATTTCCTCTCCGGCATCAGTCTCTCCAGAGCTGCATGTACTACTTCCAAAGCCCCACTAGCTTCCCACTCCCACCTACTCTCCAGGCCCCTCTGGCCTGGATGCCTTCCTCAAATGCATCCAGGGAAGCCTTTTCTTCCTTAGCATTCCCAGGGGGTGCCTGGCTCTATCCCAGCCTAAGACCTCCTTGCACCCCCCACTCAAGAAGCTGTGAAGGTCAACAAGCCAGACAGTAGACCTGACAGCAGCTGGCAGGGGAGGCTTCTAGTCCTTCCTGAGGTCTCCAGTGCCTGACAACTCCTCACCCACCTGCCTGCTCCTCCTGTAGAGCAGGTCCCCAGCATCAGAGCTGCACTCAAGCCAGCTTGAAACTCCAGACCCCTCTGGGAGGGAATAACTAACTTCCTCCCTCCCTCTGTCCCTCTCTCACACACACATACACACACATCCCCAATGTACCCTAACCCAGGTTCCCCACACTTTCCTTCAGGGCCAAGGTCAGAGGAAGCCCCTCTCAAAGGCAGATAACAGTTTCCAGGCTCCCAGCTGGATAGCCTCCCACTGCAACCCCTTCAAGGACCCCCTAGATTCTGAACCACAGCCCCCTTAAAACCTCTGACATTCTCCCTAAGCTCTTGACTCCTCCTGAACCCCAATAATGAAAAGGAACAGAAACTTTAAACCCCCTCCAAGGCCAGGGGGCACAAGAGGGGAGGTTCTAGGCAGGGATGGGCCAGGTGCCCTTCTCTGGGGGCCTCTGAAGGTCACTCTGTGGCCAGGCAGTCACTCCTCCCCCTCCTCCCCACTTGGAGGCCTGGAGCCAAGGCCTTTGTGCCAGGGTTTGAGGAACTCTGGGTGATGACAGGGACCCCTGCCCATTTCCTTCCTTTTGCCTCCTCTCCAAGGGGACACTCTCTGGCTGAGTGAAGGCAGAAGGGAGGAGCTGAAAAGGACCCCTTAAGTGGTTTTGAGAAGCAAATTGGGTGGGCAAGTTTGGAGTTCCAAAAAACCACCTGCTCCAAAGCCCAGATTTGCCAGGACAAAGTGGGTATGCAAGGCTGGCAGGAGCTTTTGCCCAAGGTGCAGGAAGGGCTAGTCCCACGCTGCCCATGTCACAGAAAATTTCAAACCATTTTTCCAAAAAGTAGAGTGGGATGATGATAGTCTTCAGACCCTCCCTGAGCCCACCCCATAAAAGCTAACGCACAGCTCACTTAGGACTGTTGGGGAAGGGAGGGAAGCAGCCGGTCACCAAGTCAGGACTTTGGACACAGTTTCCACAAAGCACCTGGGTGGGCTCTAGCACCCCGACTTCTGACAGTTACCCTTCTTTCCCTGGACTCTGGGGCCAGAAAGGGTCAGATGGGTCCTCAGTAAAGAGAAGTGAAAAATAAATGGGTGGTGCGGGTTTCTCTCCACACTAGGGAGGACAGGAGGAAAGGGGGAAGGGGCGTCAGAAATTTCCCCCAGCACAGGACAAGCGTAGGGGCCAGGGACTATAGAAAGGGGTATGGATGGTTCTCTGAGTCCCCGGACTGGGGCTACCTCGAGAGGTCACCTTCCCGCGGAGGGCCGGCGGGGGGAGGGGCTCGCTCGCTGCCCGGGGCTCCCGGCTCCAGCAGCCGTGGCTCCGGGAACACGAGGCCGGCCAGGCCCGGGCTGATGTAATCGGCTCCGCGCCGCGCGCGCCCGGTCGGGCGGGGGAGGGCGGGCACCGAGCGGGACGCGAGCAAGGACGGGCGGGAGTGGCGCCGCGCAGGTGGCCCAGCAGGCTGGGGGGTCCCCGCAACAATCCATCCCAAAACTTTTCCCAAACTCGAAGAGAGGGCCGTAGAGACGGAGTGGCAGTGACAGCAAGCCCCCTGTCTCGCCTGCGCCCTGCCCCCTCCATGCTCTCTGCCCTCCCGCGGTCCAAGGTCCGAGCACCCCCCTACCCGCTGTGCTCTGGCTCCCGCCCCCGCTGCCCGGACTTCCAGTTCGTCGGGAACCCGCGGCGGGGAGCAAACTTCAGCAGCCAGCCGCAGCGCAAGCCCAGCCCCCTCGGCCTCCTTCTCTGGCTCCCGCCCTCCGCTGTTCGGCCCAGATCGTACGTGCGGTGACTCTGGTGGGTGGGCAGGGCCCGCGTGGGCGGTGAGACTATCCTGGCGCCCTCCCACCTAGCACTCGCCCCCTCCCCCTACACGTACGACGACAGAGGGGGACGCCTCGCGCCTGGTGCCCAAGGACCCGCGTGGGTCACGAAGCCCCCACGCGCGCGCTCGCACGCACGTCCCCAGCCGGGAGAGGCGCTCGCAGCAGCCCGCGGCAGCCGGCGGGCACAGTCGCTTACCTTGGCATGGTGGAGGTAGAGCAGCAAGGCAAGGCTCCAATGCACCCAAGAGAGCAGAAAGTTCATGGTTTCGGAGGCCCGGCCGGGGCCGGCTCTGCTCACGCTCCCTCTCCGGCTCGGGCTGCGGGGCGGCCCGCTTTCCTCTGCGCCTTGGCGGGCTCCTTTTCCTCCTGGAGCCAAGGCCCGCGCCAGGGCCTGGGACGCGCGCGCGGCTGTAACACTGTCTGCGCACACCGCCGCCTCACCCGTCCATGAGCCCGGCTTCCGAGAGCCGAGTGGCCACCGCGGCCCCCTCTCCTCTTCCTTCTCTTCTTCCTCCTCCCCCTCCTTTGGCCGCGGCTTCTCCCGGCCGGAGCTAGCACTTCTCCCGGCTCCGCTCAGCTCGACTCCCCCGGCGCGGACCACGGCTCCTCCGGAGCGAGAACAGCCCAGAAGTTGGTCGAAAAGTTTCAGTGCAATGCCGCGAACCCCGAACCCCTCCACCCCGCCTCCGGGAGCGGGCTCCGGGTCCTGCCCGCGGCTCGCCGCCGCGTCCACTGTCGGCCGCCTGCCTGGGAGGAGGTGGGCGCTGGGGCTGGAGGCGGTGTCTGTCTGTCGGTCAGCGCTACTGGTCTGATGCGGGATCCCGAGGGGGAGGGCTCACGCTGCGCTCTGGCGGTCACCCCAAAAAGCAGGTCACTCACTTTGCCCCTGTCCCTCTAGCTGCTCGCTTGCTCGCGCGCTCTCTGACCCCGTCTCTCTCTTCCTCGACTTCACTCTGGAGCTCTCGCTACCTCTTTTCTCTCTCTTGTGGTTTCCAAAATCCGAAGTGATTTGGGGGAGTAAAGAAGCAGTCTTCCCCAAACCGTCGTTCCGATTTAAGTGGAGAACGGGAAGCAAAAATAAATTAAAATGGGAAACAATAGTTTTAAAAATGTTTAAGAAAAAAAGAGGGTGGTGAACCCTGGATAAATGAATATCAAATTCCAGCGCAGAGACCCCTGGCCGGTGAGTGCTCTGGACAGTCCGCCTCGCTGCTGCGTCTCGCGACAGAGCTCCGCTGCCGCCAGCTCGGCTCGCCCTCAGCGCCGCGGCCTCCTCGCAGCCCGGCTGCCCCAAGCCTCTGCGCTCTTTCCTCTACCAGCCGACTGGAAAAAAAAGGGCTTGGCCCCGCCCCACCAAAGACCCGCCTCCAGACCCGCCCCGGGGCGGGGCAAGGCCGAGCCTCTGTCCCTCAGGCTAGGCACCGCCTTCCCCAGGGACATCTAGTGAAGTCTGGGCCCCTAGCCCACCACCGTGAAGGGAAAGCTCGACCCCCACTAGAGTTCACAGCCTGAAAATTATCCATGTGCCCTCCACACACAACTCTGCCTAGACACACATACACGCCTGCGGGATGTTGAGGGGGGAGAAAAACAGGAAAGTGAGGTTATGTGCGGACAGGCCCTGAGAGCAATCCTTTGCTGGGACTATTAGAGGGGGAGGGTGGGAAGCTGGACAGGGACGGGTAGGGAGATGGGCACAGGTCTATTGGAATCCTGAAGTGACTCCTGGCCTTCTTCCCTTACACACACACACACACACACACACACACGCACATTTTCGCTCTCTCTCTTTCTCTGCACGCCCCCCACCTCACTCATTGACATACGCATCCTCACGCAGACTAGGCTCGCCCAAGTTCACGAGTTCCCTGTGGTGGCCGAGCGCCCCCTAGTGACTGACGTCTGCACACCCCAGCTCTAGCTCAAGGGAATGGGTCTTGGAAGAAGGATAGAAGGAATTTACTCCTGGACATCCCCCTCCCCCAACTCCTTTCTGACCTCCCAAACTGTTGCGTGTTTGGGACTGGAATGCCCTCGTGGGCAAAAAACCCAGTACTGTGTGCAGGGGGGAACAATGTACTTATCTGGAGTCCCTATCTGACCTGAGGACATTAGAGGGATCTAGAGCCCTGGGGTGAATGGGGTCCTTAGAGGTGTCCACGGAAGTTGCCCTGGGGAGAATTTGGCACAAAACGTGTAACTTTGAAAAGGACAATCTTTGTGGTTCTGGGGTTAGTCAGTGGCCTAGAGGGAAGAGGACCTGTTGGAGCCCACGTATGCACTGTGGAGTCTGGCAGAGCCCAAAGGGAGAGGCAGCTGGGCAGACAGAGGCCCTTGTTCCTCCTGCACACACACCCCCCACAGATGTTGCCAAGGAACTGAGGCCAGGGGGCTGATGGGGGCGGATGAAGGCCAGGGTTTGAGTGATGATTCAAACCTACCCCCCAGTACTCAGAAACGTCCTAGGCCAGTTGCCCAGAGCTCCCACCAGGCTGGGGGCCAAACCCCAGCCCAGGCTCACAGCTCATCTTCTGAATAGTATTGGGGAGTCTACTTAGCCCCCCATTCCCTCCAGATCCCTTGGCTATTAATCCAGGCTTGCAGACTCTCCCCTCTCTTCCTCCTCTGTCCCCTTTCTATCCTCAAAGCCCCCTTCTCCCCCAACTCCCCACATCTTCCCTAAGTGCTCCCCAAGGCCCCCTACCCCACCCTTGGATATAGGAACCAGCCTGGAAAAATTCCTGGTTGGGCTTTGGCCCAGCTGTTCCCAGGCTCCCCCAAGGGAGCAAAGAGGGGGCTCTGATACCTGTGGGAAGAAAGGGACCAACCAGTTTCATTACCCACCCAGATCTGGGTCTGGCCTGGGGCTGAGGTAGCCTCTGTGAGGGCCTGGGCTGAGAAGGGAAATGCAGCAATTTCCCCCAGTTTGCCCAAAACATCCAATATTACTTTGCCAGCCTACTCCCTCTGCACAAAGTGCTGTGATTTGATGGGGGTGATAGGTCATCTCTTGGGTACCCTAATTCTGCTGGAGTGGTGTCCTGAGGGCCCTAGAGGAGAGGAATTGGCTTCCACTCACTCCATCTTGCCTTTTCTATCATTCATGCTCTGGTCCTGTCTCCACCTCCTGGCCGGCTCTCCAGCAGCAAGGACAAGGTCTTTTTACAGTTTGTAAATGTTTATTTGCTGGCTCAGGGCCCCTTCCAAGCACAGGCCTCCTCACCTTGGTCCATGCTCCAAGCTGCTGAGTGAAATATGTAAGGGAAGCCACTAAACATCCTCCCTGTCTGCCCCTTGCCCCCGAGGATCACAAATGTGAACACTTTGGCAGAGCACCCTCCCGCATCCCTACCCTGGGCAGGGCAGAGGCTCCAGATACTGAGGGCTCACTATGGCCTCCTCCCCTGCATCCCTCTCATCTCAACCTTCTTCAGTCCATAGAGAAGCAGTGAGCATTAAAAGGAGGTCTCAGCAAAAGACCCTGAAGTTATGCCAAGTGCAGTGGCGCATGCCTATAATCCCAGAGGCACAGGAAGCTGAGGCAGGAGGATCCTGAGTTCAAAACCAGCCTTAACAAGACCCTCACTCTAAATAAAATAATTAAAAGGGCTGAGGATGTGGCTCAGAGGTTAAGTGCTCCTGAGTTCAATCCCCGCTACCAAAAAAAAAAAAAAAGACCCTGAAGTTGGAAGGAGGCTGGAGGAGTTCTAAGGAAAGTTAGCCATTAACCATCACTTTGCACCCAGCCCCCCACAACCTGAGCCTGCCATGCCCTGTGGGATATACTGCAAGGAGTGTTAAAACCTCCTATTCCTATTCCAGGATCACCCTGTGGGCCCAGGGCAATGACTATGCACAATTCCCTTTAGATAGAGCTAGGGTTGCAATCTGGCCTGAGGGGGTTTGAGCAACCTGTACTAGGGAGGGGAGGGGCCTCCCACCTCCACTCTGCTTTTTGGAGACAACCTGATGGTGAGTCAGAGGAGGACCCAACTCTGGATCCCATGTCCCAATGTGGTGTCACTAGCTTTCACAGGGATACATATAACATGGACCCAGCCAATGTCCATATTGTCATCGAATTAAAAGTTCAAGTCACTTGGGTCTTTAAAAAGGGAGGAGAGAGGCAAAGTAATCTTAAGACTCATGAGACTGTCTCCTCAAGCAGTGACTCTTCTAGAACTGAACAAGCTTCATTCCACTCATTCTCCCTCCCCAGGTCACAGCAGAACAAGGGGCATCAGGGTAGACTATCTTCCCAGAGAATCTCCCACAGGCCCAGAAATGGAACAAGGGGCTCAAGGTCACCCTGCAAATTGGGGGAGAGTGGATTCCAGAGCAGCTCAGACAGAGATCATGGGGGCTCCCAGTGGAGGGGCAAAGGCAGCCCCACCTGAAGACCCCATGGGTGGCCAGGCCTGTGACTCCGGAGGCAGTTCAGAAGGCACCTAGAAGGAAGGGGAAGGTGTTTGTGGAGATGGGGAAGGGGAAGGAGGGACAGAGTGGGGGTGGAAAGTCAGCCGGGAGCCAGCAGTAGCTCAAGACAAAGGAAGGAGTGATCAGCTCAAAGCCCTATAGTTGTACTTTGTCCTGAAGTCCTGTCACCTCTCCTGTCACCTCCAATGTTCAGGGAAGCTCTCACTACATGGATGTGGGCAGTTAATCTGGAAACCTATGGAGGAACAGACAGAGGACCTCCTGGGGGTGAAGAGGAGGGGGTCATTGAGTCTTGCTATTGTGTACCCATTTTTCCAAGTGGTTTACGATGATGGAAGTTCTTCCCTTCCACTCCATCCTCTGACCCCCAGACGCCTCGCCAGTCCACTGATCTGCAGGAAGGTCGGCAATCCAAACCTGCTGAATTGAAGAGAGGACTAGGTTTTTTTCTCCCCCACCCCTTCCCTGTCTTTGGTTGTAGGTCACCCCCACCCAGCTTCCTCCTCCCCCATCTCTGTCACTAGGTGTTCCTCAAACACTGGTTCTTTGCAACAAAGCAACAGAAGACAAAGGAAAAGCAGAGGAGGAGGGTCTCCCTGCCAATGTCATGGCCCCATGTGGACCTGAAGGATTGACTGGGGTTCATGAGAGGGAATGACTGTCAGTTGGTAAAGAGATTGCAGCAGAGGAAGCAAAGCGGGTAACCTCCCCCGAAGGATCCAGTCAGAAAAGCGGGGAGCCAGCCGGAGAGGGCAGGGAAGCAACAAGCCTCCATCTCTCCTTCACGAGCCTCCATTTAACCCCCTAGCAGTAGGGTGTCTCCAATGGATTGCTTCTCCCCAACAGCCCCAGGCATAACCACTTCCTGACACCACAATCTTTGCTGCCCCTCTACGTCTGACCCTCATCTTGTCCATTGCTGCCCCTGTTCACATCCACCACCCCACCCAGTGTTGGAGACAGTCTCTCTGCTGGGAAGGTGGCCCATGGTTTCTGCTAAGGTCTCCAAGCTGTGCCCTCCCTCCTGACTTGACTGACCGCTCGCTGCCTAGGAGCTGAGCTTCATTTCAATGTGTGAATATTACTGGAGGTCTCCCAGGCACCAGCCTCTGTGCCGACACTATAAGAGATACGGGGATACCTAAGTAAGGCAGTGGAAAGCATAGGGGCTCTGAAGCCAAACACAACCAAGTCGCCCTCCTGGCTTTGTCACTCTGTGTGACCTTTATGCAGGTTACTCAACCTCTCTGAGCCACAGAGTGAAAACACCTTATCTGTAAAATAGGAGTGAAAACACCTGTCTTGGAAATTCCTGCACACAGAAAAATGTATACACAGCGCCCCTAAAAGGCAAGATGGGGAAAGGGCTCTGGAGGAGGCACAAAGTGTGTTCCAAAGGTATGGAAGGAAAGCAACCAAACTGGCCGGAGTGGACATCAGGAAGGGCTTCCTGCGGGTGGTGGCATACAATATTGATTCCATGAGTGATTATTAAATTTATCCTGCAAGCCCTGTTTGGGGCTGGGTCCTGGGGCTTCCACAGTGCAGAAGAAGCTCCTTGTCTGGAAGGAACCAGAAGAACTGAGAATAGGAATTCTCTGGTGGGGGCTCCTCTCAGTAAGAATTCTCTGATGGGCTCTCATAACTGCTGAGTAAGCAATGGCTTCCTGGAGAAGGTGACACTTGAGTTGGATTGTATTTTTTTAATTTTTTTTATTTTAGTTGTACATTGACATAATTATTTTATTTATTTATTTATTTATGTGGTGCTGAGACTCGAACCCAGTGCCTCACAAGTGCTAGGCAAGTGCTCTACCACTGAGCCACAATCCCAGCTCTTGAGGGGGATTTTGATGGAAGAGCAGGGGTTTAGCTAACTGAGTGGAATGGGGACAGAGAAGAGGCAGAGGATTCTGGAAAATTCTGATGGCTCACAGGGAGCCCTCCCAGGGTTCTGCTGAGTAAAAGAGACTGCGTTTAGGCAAGGCAGGGAATTAGGACTTCTTCCCAGCCAGAGCCCACAGGGACAATGCTACTTCCTCAGGGGGTGAGCTACACTTTGCCTTCCCCGCCCTCTGGGACAGCATGTCTCTGCCAGAGACTTTAAACAAACAAGCAGACACTAGAGGTAGGTACAGCTCATACATTGAGCACCACTATTATTTGACTCAGGGGCAAGGGAAGGGCAGAGGACACCAGCCTGTGACAAGCACCGGGCCATTCAGCTGGAGCAAGCCATAAAGCAGAAAGATATTTTCTCCAGTTTTACTCCCTCCCTGTCCCCACCAAGTACCCAGAGCCTCCAGCCTCCATATCACTGACATGTGAAGAACTGGAAACAGCACGGACCAAAAAAGTCCAGAGGCTGCTGCATGCTGTGTGACCAGGGCTAA